AAAATTTAGGTGNATCAAACTAAACACATTCTTTATTTCTCTTAAACTTTTTTTTTCTCATTTGAACGCAAAACACCAATTAAACCATTTATTCTCATTAAAAAAAAATGTTTTGATAAAGTTCTTATTCGTAGCGAATACAATATAACAAAAATTTAGGTGAGAGTTGAATGAATAAATAAATAAAATTCAAAGATAGTCAAATAATCTATAATAATGAATTTATTTATAATAAAGTTAATCATCTAATTCCACAGTTTCGATAAAGAATATATAAAACTAATAAAAAAGAACATAAAAATATTAATGAAGAAATTAATTTTATTCCTATAAATATTTATGATCAAAAGTCATATTATTAATTAAAAAAACATATTAGCAAAATTTAAATAAAAAAAATTAGTAATTTCGAATCTCATAAAAAAGTGAAAATAANAGAACATAAAAATATTAATGAAAAAATTAATTTTATTCCTATAAATATTTATGATCAAAAGTCATATTATTAATTAAAAAAACATATTAGCAAAATTTAAATAAAAAAAATTAGTAATTTCGAATCTCATAAAAAAGTGAAAATAATATATTTTAAATTAAAAATTTTAATTATTATTAAAAAAATATAAAAATATCATTGACCGTCGTTATTTTAGGCCTAAAATATTGTTGAGTCACCTCTGATCTCAATCTCTCATAATTTACAACTNGGACTTTGTTGGCCTCTCTCTCTCTCAAAAGATGGTGTACACCAAGTGTTTCTGGATTGGCAGTGATCACTAGTGGGGTGGTCTAGTGGGGTTCGTAAAGAAACTGATAAGAGCGGTCCAGTGAAGTTAGGGCTATGTGGTTGAACTTGGTTCAACTATGGACTAGTCAAGTGATATATTCCTGCAGTTTTCTCATTTTTTTAATGAAATCAATGGAATACCAATGTCATGTTTGATAGACCAAAAATTGGGGTGGGGGAGAATTGGGACCCGTACCCACGTCTTGAGCAAGAGACATACGTAAGTGAATAGATCTAAGTACCAACTTATAATCAATCATATACTACTCTATCAGCCACTAATGAAATGTTGAAAGATTCAAATCTAAGAGTTCACAACATGAATTGAATTTTTACATTGACAGCGTAATCACTGAACTACCCACACAGGCGATAGTGAAATGCTAGTAATACGTGAGAATGCTTGTGGGAGTTGTTATTTAACTCAGTTTGGTTCATTGGATCAATTCGTTGAGCTATTGACTTAACATTTACACATTTTTTTGCAGCAAACCCGTTAAAGCTAAGATGATTCCGTCAGTTAAATCAGTTACCCATTTGAACTCGTGGAAAGACTAAAACTAAAGTTTTGAATTGTTTTTGACCATTTTGATTGTTTACTACAATCGGAACGAATTATTCATTGAACCGATCCCTTGATGATTGAGTAAGAGAAGGCGCATTGGACACAGGATCTAGAAATGGTTGGTGCCCTCGTGAAGTGTATGTTATCCTTAGGATCATTATTGTGTGATTGTGCCTTATCAGTAAACTCATTGTACAATTTTGTGGAGATGAAACTTCAAAAAATCATAATTTTGGGGGAGAAAAATCTACAGAAGTATAGACAAGACTTTGACATGGTCCATCCTGAAAATGACTTGTCAGAGAGTAGCAAACTTTTTCAATGTGAATTCATGTGTGAGGAGGTTGAAGTTTTGAACATTTTGAACTCTATTATTAATCAATTGGAATGAAACAAAAAAAACCCATCATTCTCTCCTAAATCATATCTTAATTGTCTTCCATGAAAATAAAGTTGACCTCTTTTTTCCTAATCCTTTCGCTGTTGGAAAGTGGCTTTCTAGGATTCACACGCCGACTGACATGTATTAGTGATTTTTTGTCGGACCATAATCTGAACGCATGGAGAAAAATAGAAACAAAAGGACTAATAGTGAAGATTTAATTCAAGAAAGGTAGGAGAATGCCTACAAATTATAACCATTATTGATCTCATAAAGACAAAAAAAAAAAAAAGAATTCTAGTCACATTCGACTTANAGAAAAGGACTAATAGGGAAGATTTAATTCAAGAAAGGTAGGAGAATGCCAACAAATTATAACCATTATTGATCTCATAAAGACAAAAAAAAAGAAAAGAATTCTAGTCACATTCGACTTACTCCAGCCACTTACACTACTTTTCTCTCTCTCTCTCTCTCTCTCTCTCTCTCTCTCTCTCTCCATGTTAAGGCATGACCAACTTCCATAGCGAAATGATAATGTGTGCAAACTTGGGGAATCAATTTATTGTTGGATTAGTAGCACTTTCGGCAGGACGGATTTTTTGGAGCTAGCTCACCCCCTCCCGATCATTGTAGCATGTGTGTTGCTTTTGGCCTCAGGGGCATGATAACTCTAAAATTACTGTCATTAAACTGTTTGAAACATGGGCAGAGAAAACGGTGCAATTGTCTCCAGTGCAATTTACATTTAGTGTAGTTAAATTTGTACGCAATCTAACCCACCCTCCTTATAAACTTCATTAATGACGACTAAACGCTTAGACTTCCTCATAAAACATCTTTTCGTAGTGTGTAAATGTTTCGAGAACAAACCCTACATGGTGTAGATGGGTCATGGTGGTTAATATGCCTCTTCCTTTCCCCGGGCATCACAGTCCATTACCCTCGAAACCATAATCAAGGCGAAGGTGAACTAAGATGAAGTGCACAACACCCGCATGAGAGAGATAAAAAGAGACACGGAGAGACAGAGAGAAGGGCGATGAAGGCTGGGATCATTGAAAGGAACATTTGACCGTAAATGTTTGCATAGTTAATCAACCAAAATCTTGTGAACACTCTTTGTCTTGATCATTTGAAGCGTCTTCTCTACCAGTTTTATAGGGTTGGTGAGATTTGTTCTATATATGGAATATTCACAGATAGGGATGGCAGTAGACTAAAGCAGGGGTGGGAGTGTAGTCTTCATTCCTATACCTGCTTAAAAAATTTCGTTTATTTTTGATCCATCCTCGTTAACGGGTATAATTTTCATTCTCATCCTCATCCGCGGGTAAATATATAATTCCTGTCCCTGCCCCCGCCCCCGTCCACCTTACTCGCCCAAGCCCAAGTCCAAGTTCAAGTCAATATAATCTAAAATTTTAAATAATCCAACATAATTATAAAATATCATAACCTAATTAAAAACTTATCATCTACAACATAATATAATTAAAAGTTTATCTCTCATGTAAATTCAACACAACATAATGTAATATAACATAATCCAACATAAAAAAAAAAAAACATAAAAACACAAAAATCTACACTTTTACAAGCCAAAAACTTGAAAAAATAATTTTCAAAAGAAAAAATTATTCAATAGTATTTAGATTTGTATTCACAGCAACACACACACACACAATTATATATAAAATAATAATAAAAATAATAACAGGTAAAGTGAAGCAGGGCGGGGGTGGGGGTAAGTGTCAGTCTATTCTCGCACGGATTTTTAAGAATATTCCCGTATACGTTCACCGTTTAATATGTATGGTTCATCCCCAGTCCAAATGGGATAAGTTTGAAAGAATACTTATTTTTACTCGGTTCACTGTTATCCCTATTCACAGTCTACTCTATCATGGTAACGATGTGGTCATTAATATTGTAAATTTGACCAATAAAAAAAGTACAAGACAATAATATAATCTAAACAACACGACAAAAAAAAAAAAACACAATCACGTCCCATCGCAACGTGAAAGAGAAAAATCCGAGCCTAATCTTTTTTGAGGCGGTCGGATTGGACTTTTTTTTTTCCCAAGTCTTCTTTTTACTAGTAGAATCTTGACATTTTTATGATGACATATTGAACTAAACCCATGGCATAATTTCTAAGGATTGACTTCTTATCTAGTTAATGATATGCAAGTGTTGAATTAATTCATCTTTGGAGCACAACATAAGCCTAAACCTCAATGTAATGGGTTTTTTTTCTCTCTCCTTTAACTTTTGGAAAGTTTCGATTGATCATCGAGATATAATTCAACTCTTAATGCAGCTTCAGTCAAACTTTAAGACCATTCCCAATGGTTTATAGGGCAACTCCAAAATTTCAAAATTGAAATAATTCCGCCAACAATTTTCCAAACAATGCCAAATTAGCAGTCTGTTACACTTTTTTTTTCCTTTTCTTTTTCAGCCCCTACCAAGGATTTTAATGAAGAAAAAGGAAAGAACAACGATGGAANAGTAGCAGTCTGTTACTCTTTTTTTTTTCCTTTTCTTTTTCAGCCCCTACCAAGGATTTTAATGAAGAAAAAGGAAAGAACAACGATGGAAACTCTTCCGACAAGAGTTGTTTAGTCCATAGGTTTAAGGTGGTTTAGTAGATGTGATAGAGAAAAAATAGTTCAAGGTCCCACATAACCCATGTTGGGTTCATTTTTCAGGAATGAGAATTATTAAACAATTAGGTTAATCTTGAACCAATATAAATAATAAGTTTTACGCCATGTATGGGAGTATGATGAAACCAACGGAGGGTGAGCTTCAACAGTGAGACATGGGGTTTGTAGATAAAAAGACCTCTTTACCAAAAAAAATCATTTTTCTCTTTATTTAATAATTGACATTTTAATCAATTGAGAAACATGATTTGACATAAATCCAGATCCCACGTGTATTTATGTCACTTATCAAACATGATTTATTGTTTAAATCCCAAGTAATCTTTGGGGTTGAATTTGGAAAAGCTTCATAAATTCAATCCAATCCTCCAAAAGAAAAAACTCATCAAAACAGCCCCTAATGGTAAAGAACATCCACTTAAAGATACCAGNATAGATCCCACATGTATTTATGTCACTTATCAAACATGATTTATTGTTTAAATGCCGAGTAATCTTTGGGGTTGAATTTGGAAAAGCTTCATAAATTCAATCCAATCCTCCAAAAAAAAAAAACTCATCAAAACAGCCCCTAATGGTAAAGAACATCCACTTAAAGATACCAGTGTACACAATTAACGAACTGGGGGTAGTAATGTGTTGAAATCAAAGCCAAATGAGGTTAACTACAACATGACCAAAACTTGGAGGGGCCAATATATAATTAAGCCTATCAAAAAACAGGCAGACAGAGACACCGTTAACTGGAGGCTTCAAAAATTAGTTTTATTTTTTCCATTGTTCCCAAGCAAATATATTTTGCACACTTCGGTCATATTAAAAGAACCGATGAGAATTAAAACACAAGGCAAGTTCACTTAACAGATTACTTTTTTCCTCAGCAAAACCAATCTAGCGCACGTAAAACTCAACATACAGGAGGTTCTCCGTCAAGTGGAGCCTTTGGAACCTTTTCATCTATAGGGGCGCCACCGGAAAGTTCTTACCTGTCCATCAGGAAATCCCAACAGTAAGTTTCTGTTTGAAACCATTTCAAACTCTCATACACAAACTTAGTACCTGTTTTCTCCCTTTAAAGCAAATCCATCTAGTTTCAAAGGTATAATAATGTCCCTAATATATAAGGAACAAACTTCTGGAAATGGAGAAAAAAAATGAATTGTACAGAACAAACAGAGATATGTCATTCTGACTCATTAATTTCAGCAAATAAACCCATAGACCCTCTTCCACACTTCAGAAGGGTAAGGAGATTACATGCAGCTCGAACAAATAGCAAGGGGGCAAAACATCTCAATCGTTAATAGCACAGATGCAAGCAGAGCAACAACACAATTTTAATAGACTCCTCCCAAGACTAATATAGTAGTCATATGCATAGGACAGCAATAATATATACTGAGAGAAGGGTGGAAGCATGACAAACATAGTTACATTATGGCATTCATGTCCCTCTCCAGCACTCGAAATCTTTCAATTCCAAAATAAAGGGCAAGGAGATGAAGTACATGCACTCAGAATGAGAAAGGAAACGAAGAGAAAATAAATAAAGAAAAGCAGATTAAAAGGAGGAAAGAACAGAGGGTTATTTTTGTTTATTTTTTAACTTTGTCTGTTTGGGGTTGGAGGGTGGGGGTGTAGGGCAGAGGAGACATCCACCTCAACTCCTAACATCAATCTTCGAACTCATGCATGTGATCTAAAAGGTAGTTGGCAGCCAGCTCCTCATTCTTGTTGCAAGCAAAGAACACTTCCAGTACAATTGCTCTATCAAAACCCATTGCTTCTAGCTGGAAAACAGAAAAAGTGAGTGCTAGAAAGAATCAACACAACTAATGAGAATTCCGGATAAAAATCAACAAATTTTTAACTAAATCACATTTGGCATTGTCTTCTAGCAGGATACAAACAAGTTAAAGAAAGAAACATATGCAAAATACAACCGATAAAAATATCACCAATCTTTCATTCAAGGCATTATTTTATTATTTCTGTTAATGGTGTTACGTTTTTTCACTTTAGTCCAAAATCACAATGGGGTTACGAGTACAATTTTCACGTCAGTGCGTAAAATGATTTTGGAAACCACAAGGAGGTAAAAGATAATTATCCCTATCAGAGTCAACTTCTTCAGATCTTGGCAATTTGGGGTCATCCACCCCACCCCCAACAAAAAAATAAAAAAAGACAGGAAATCAATCAGAGGATAATAGACAAGGTTATGTAAACATGTGAACCAATTGAAGTCACGAAAACACGTTTTTAAACTATGAACTTGAAGTCACAAGAAACACTTTTGCAAACTATGTATAAAATGACCACTTTATGCAAACCCAACTCTAATCAAGATTAGTAAGAGGCAAAACTTACACGTTCTATGGCTTCACGCTCCTCAGGTGTAACTGTTACAGCTTGCGGCATTGCGGCTGCAAGCTGCCCCAGTACATTCCTGATATCATATTAGAAATGTCAGCATATTGAACATTCATAATCAGTTCAAAAGTAAGAAAACAACATAACATACTCTCCGCCTTCAACTGGTTCATTGATCAGGCGAAGGAAATCAGCCTGATGCTCTTGAATAAGCCTCATCAGGTGAGGATTTTGCTTCCCTAGCTCCTGAAGCATGGGCTGGTAACAAGGCAAGAGTGAAAAATTCCTCCAGGTGAATGTTTAACCAAAAACTGAAAAAAGACAGGTTGGAAAGTAGAATGAACCTGCAAGATTTGTGGGTTGGCCTGCACCATAGCTCGGAAAGCTTGGAACTGAAATAGAAAAGTCACATTAGTGTGTGGAAGGAGGGAAAAAAAAAAGAAGGGGGGGGGAGAGAGATAGAGAGTTGACTTCTGTCTGAATCAGAGAAAAGAGGCAAGTACAAAAGAATTTACATACCTGTTGACTATTGCGTAGAAAATCCAAAGTTCCTGCCCCAGCAGCATTCGAACCCATATTGGGAAGACCCTACAAGAAGGAAATGCAAGACCATCATTGAAAAATGCCCAGAGCAATCACGATAAATACCACTAGACCACATACCTGAGGAAATAAATCTAATGGATTTGCATTTGGTCCACTTGAAGGAGCAGGTGCAGCTGGTGGAGGCTGAGCCGGGGAATTTGCAGCCTGCCCACTTGGCAGGGCTCGAGCAACAGGTGGAACCTCGGTTTGCTCAGGAACACCCTGTCGTAGAATTTCCAAATGAACGGAAGTAGACATCATACCATCAATCGTATTGTTCAAACTAATATGTGCAGAGCTCAGCCAGAGAGAGAGAGAGAGAGAGATCATAATCACACATAATTACTTAATAAGATATTGTCAAATGGTCAAAAACTACAAGTCAGCAAAAGAAGAAGAATTTGTCGTCCAGAGAACTGTAACCCACCACTCTCCTTCACACTTTCCATTTCCAAAAAACTTAACCCTTTAAACCCCACAAGTTTTGATGAACATGAAGCTAGGCAGTGGGATTTACTGAAGGATACAGCAATTCTCGAACCAGATAACACAGGATCAAGGTCTAGTTGTTGGAGTGGTGTCAGTAAGATAATGCATGAGATAACAGTAAAAATAAAAAACCACTGAATTTAATTATTAGACATGATTTCCCAACTTGCTCCTCCATGTATGCCCAAACTGCTTATATTACCAGTTTCATGCAATGCTACAGGAATAGATTGACCAACACTCCCTCTCTCTATCTGTATTGGCATGACATTATCTCTGGTGCCATTTCAAACAACGAAAGCATTTGCCATACGAATAACACATCTGTGAAAATCTCCCTTGTAATGCTAAAAGTGCATATAAGTCGTAACACTTCTCACAGTTAAGGTGAATATGGCAACAACTTCTTCGGAAAAAAAGGCAATTCCTACTGACATTTTCCAGGCCACCACCACTCAATTGTTGTGTAATGAGAAAAAACAGAATCACGCAAAAAGACTATTGCCTCTGTTCTTCAGTAAATGATACTTTCATGGAAGTAACTCAAATCTCATTTGCAATATTTTCCAAGAGACAACCAGTTAGCCATTTCCTCTTCCTCCCATAGTACCCTGCAGAGCACCTCTAGTGACAGAGAAGTCATGGAATTTGTTTTCCAACCTTATTGCGTGCCAAGCAATATTCCCAATTACCAAGTCAAACTCAGTCATACAAGCCAAATAAGTGTCAACACACTTACAGAATACAAATATTCAACAGCTCTCTCTGGGTTGTTGTAAGCGGCACGAAGAGCACGAAGAACTGTATCCCTATCCCAGGTTCCTCCACCCATATCAAGGATCTGCTGGATCGTTCCTTCAAGGTTGTTTCCAGCTACAAGATTTGATGCTGCCTGGTCATAGACATCAGCCTCTGGCCTGCTTGAACAAACAATAAGGGATACTAGTACAAGAACAAATGCAGAAGTTTTTAATGAATAGTACCATGAGACCAAAACACATGGTAGTCACATGTCATTAAAAAGAGAAAATACTCACACAACAGAAGCTGGAGGCGTAGGAGCTGCAGCTGGCGTAGGAGCTGCAGTTGGAGTAGGAGCTGCAGCTGGCGTAGGAGCAGCAGCTGGAGCAGGTGCAGGAACAGATGCAGGCCTATGAAGTAGAAATCAATCATGTACAGGATACAAACTAAATAAATTACATGAAAAGTAAACCACATATTTTTAGTGGGAGGCAAGGGGGAACCAACCAGAAACGACAATTATTGAAAATGTTCATGCTTAAAACTCACGTTGCAGCCGGCAATTGTAAGGCTGTTGATGCTGGAGCTGAAGTTGGAGGTGGGGCAGTAGTCTGTAGAGCATAAATGGTAGACAGAATTGTTAGATAGCAGCTCATGCTGCAATCTCAACCGACAACAACAAAAACAAAAAAAACAACAACTTAGAAATAAGATAGAACACCAAAACTAAGAAAAAGGATCAAAAATTTTTTTTTTTTCAAGAACACAATCGGACACAAGCATGTCAGTGGAGTTGAGTTGATTATGTCAATAAAAATTATGAATAACAAGTGATGGACAAGTCTTCAGCACAAAAAATCTAAAACAACCTCAGTTAAAAAATAGAGATTCAGAATACGCCGTCAATTAGGCCACAGCTCACCTAGCCAATAAATTGTCAATAACAGTTCAAGTTTTTCTTTTTTTGATTGAATTTCGAAACAATTGACTTTTTCTTTTAACAATTGAGTAGTCTTGTACAAGCAGCAGTAAAATCCAACCTGAGTGCACCAGACCATCTATAGATATAAAACCTCAAGAGACCACTCACGGAGCACATTTTGAATGAGGAAGTTAAGAAAAAATATATAAAGTACGAGCATTCAAGGTATAGGCCATACTTGATGACACTTAAAAAATAGGAAAAAGTAAAACTAATCATGGTCATTAATAAATGTCAAAAAAAAAACTCTTCTTCACTGATCTCTTACNATGAGGAAGTTGAGAAAGAATATATAAAGTACGAGCATTCAAGGTATAGGCCATACTTGATGACACTTAAAAAANACGAGGAAGTTAAGAAAAAATATATAAAGTACGAGCATTCAAGGTATAGGCCATACTTGATGACACTTAAAAAATAGGAAAAAGTAAAACTAATCATGGTCATTAATAAATGTCAAAAAAAAACTCTTCTTCACTGATCTCTTACCACTTGTTTCTAGTTTCTACCAATTCAAGCATGGCAAAATTATGTCGGAAATCTATGAACCAAAAAATGATATTTCACATTTCATAAGCAAATTGGATAGTTTCCATTATGAGAGAAACTTCTGAATCTTTTCAAAGATGCATGAAAAGGCCTATTTCAAGAACATAAAACCATCATCAAACATGTCAACAAGGTTGCCTGTGATTGAGATACATAGATTATGTCATTTATGATCAAATAAAGTTTAATTTCTAATGATGCATTGTTGTTTCCTTTCCTTTTTCTTGTTAAGGGAGTTTCTAGAAGCATCTTCAACAGCTCTCGAAAATATTAGAGCTCTCCATCGCATATCGTGAAGTTCTCAATTGGAATTGGCACTCCATAGCTTATTAGGGAAATGAATGAGGAATATAGGTCCATTAAGACTTGGAACAGGATCAAACAATCCTATAAATATTGTTGATTATTTCCTTATTTCGGAGACTTATAATTCAATAGTCATGTAACTATGCAGTTCTTTGACAGGACTAAAGGCAGTATCAGGTCGTCAAGTAAACTGTCCAAGGCACTATTGACCAGGGTGGGTCAAATTTGGTGGATTTGACAACAGATCGTGGTTACAATATCGGCAAACGGAAGGGTTAGCTTGAATTTAGTCAGATTGCAAGCAGATGGCCCAATTGGATGCTGATCCGAAACCAACCTGTTTATTATGCAGTCAAAACAGTTTGGGCTGGTAAGTCCATCAACCTGCTACTGAGCCATTCAAACTCCAAACCACATTCATATCTTTGAAGTCTCTTAGAAAGCTCCCCAGGTTAAATAGATATTCGAAGTCAAATATTGCACCGTTCTTTTTACTTCTCCTGCAGCTTTTGGAAGAAGGATAAACCTTCTCATGGACCTTTTTGGGAATGGTTATATCCTAAATTTATTCTTGTAACTAGCAAAAAAAATCATTTGGTCCACCATTTTGGGCTGAAAACAAGTGCAACCATCTGCTGAAACCAAGCTATTGCATTATTGAACATGTGGCATCGCTCTGAAAGGACTAACTTATAGATTGACTTCAGGATATTGTGTGGCACTATCCCTCTGCACTGTGGTTTAGAATGCATTGCATACAATCACACTAGAATGTGAGCGAAAGCCCTTTATCTCAACCAAAACAAACTGCCATGGTTTACTCAAATGCACAGAACAGCAACAATAACGGTTTTACTCCTCTAAACAAGTGGGTTGATTTATGCAACATGTTAGGTGGCCCATTCCAAATCACCCCAATCCATTAATATCTGAGTGCATACTTAAAAACCTGTGCCCTTGAACCCACTTATTTACAGCCTGGTGCACGCAGAATTTCCAGTTCTAGGTTTGATTTTCTGCGCTATGTTTCTTCTTTCCAAGACCTCTTCTTTTGTAACACCCTTGTATGTCATCTTTTTCTATTCACTACATTTTTGGTAAACGTTTATAGTTTGGTCTTAATGGTTATAGACATCCATAATCAGACATTATATTTCCAAACTTTGTTAATCACATACCATCAACATCAAACGAATAATGAACATGTTTATTTGTCAATCATTGACAAAGCCTAAGTAGGGTTATATATGCCCCAAAGGATGGTCTAACCTCAAACTAGTCCAGAATTGATATTTATATCTTTAAATTATAAACATTGCAAAAAGAGTGGATCACGTCCAAAAGGACACAAGTAGGCATACGTAGCCTTTTTCAAACTTGAAGTGTCCATTCTTAATCTCAAACTGAGGTCTATCTTTAGGTGCAGCCCAAGGGAGACTGGCATGAGAGTTCAGTAAAGCAGTTTGAAGAAGCTTCTGATGGTGGCACTTCTCTATGGACTGTTGGATTCGATATTCTAGCACTCATACACTTAATGCCCTTAAGGTGAGTATATATGTGAGAAATTTCATTCCAGACTTGAGGAGAGAAGAGAGGTTCAATGGAGTACACGAGTAAGGCAGACATAGATGGGAGATAGAATGAAGAGAGAAAAGGCCCTTATCCATTAGGTTGAAGCATAGCAAAAATGGGATTTTCAATCGTACATGCAAAGGGAGAGATTAAATAGGCAAGACCCCATATTGGCCCAGACACGATGGGTAGTAACCAATAACATGGGAATCGGGAGTGCTGCATTACCAAGACACATCTCACAAACTCTATGCCATTCTCTCCTACAGGTAAAGACAAGTTAACTAGTGATTTTGTTGATTAACATGTCTATTGTATAGTCATGGCTGGACCCACATGACATCATCCTCTAGCTAAAACTTCCCTTGTGGCCTACCAAACCACAAACTTCCTAAAATTCTGTGGATAATGGCATCTGCTTTTCCCCACTCTTATCATCGTGTTCCTCTCTCTCTCTCTCTCTCTCTTTCTCCCCCCTACAGTAGAAAAGTGGGCAGGCTTAACCGTACCCACTAATGGATAGCATGTTTAAATTGGGAAAATATTGTTCGCAAGACCAATTTATCTTTTCGAAGCAAGCCCACAGAGACTGTACANTTTCTCCCCCCTACAGTAGAAAAGTGGCCAGGCTTAACCGTACCCACTAATGGATAGCATGTTTAAATTGGGAAAATATTGTTCGCAAGACCAATTTATCTTTTCGAAGCAAGCCCACAGAGACTGTACATTTTCTTACAGAAAATGATGCAACTCCGTTTTCACAGCTGACAGGTGTGACCCAGAAATATGCAGTCCTCTTTGAAAAGTTACCAGCCAGCCCTCAAACATCCGTGTCAAACAAAATGGGCAGCAAAGGTTAAAAAAATGAATAAACGGAAAACATACAGATGCATATATACATACGGACAAACAAACACATATTTGTAAGCAAGAGTATACATTATTACCTTCGTTGCAGGTGCATTTGATGTGGTTGAACCTTCACCGGATGAGCTCTTAATCTAGAATTATACAAATAAAATTAGCACCGCATGAATAGTTCATTCAATTATGACCCAAAAATGAACTCAAACGACATAAAAAAACTATAAGAAACCCTCATGAAACACAAAACGGAATATATTTGTGTGGGTTCATGTGTGCATAAGGAACCCTAGGCAGATCTGTGAAGTAGTAACCAGGGGATCATGTCTTCTGAAGCGAGACCTACTCATAATAATCCATAAAATATAAGCACTTATCCAAGAAGCAAAGATTTTTACCACAAAAACAGCTGCAAATGTAAAAAATAAACTAGATCCAGATAACAATGAATGACTTGTATCAAAATCAGTTTAGGCACCAAAATATGATATTACATTATTACTTCAATCCGACAGACCCAGAAAATTGAATGATGGGCACCATATACATCCAAAGGAGAGGTCCTTTTTTTCTAAAAATAAACAAAATCTTATTAATAGATAAAATAAAGTCTTACATAATCCAAATTAAGGTGGACAAGACCCCAACAAAATAAATTGCAAAAACATCACCATGGCCTGATCATAGGTTTTTAAAAGAGGGGCTTCCTTTTTCCCGCACATAACAAAATTAATGTGCTCTTATGGTGCAGGAACATCTAAGAGCTTATGGAGACCCTACGGGCCCACTAGTAGACTTAAACTTGGCTATAATTAACTTGATTTTAATTTATTTTAGGGTTAATTGTACTGAAGGTCCCAAAAGTATAGACTTTGTTTCATTTTGATCTTTAATATTTTAATTGCATCATTTTGATTAATGAAGTATTGAATATGTTTCTATGTGATCCCTTAAGCAAACAACATCTAAATTGCTAACGATTTTTGTATTATAAATTTGCTACGTGATACCTAAATATGGACAAAAAATAATTTGCGTATCTCTTGACCAAAATTTGGGTATGCCTTTAGAAAAAAATATGTAATATGGATAGTTCTTGACCAAATTTGGATAGCTTATGATCAAAACCGTACAATTTGGTTAGCATTTTAAACCAAATTTGAATAGAAATTTNATGCCTTTAGAAAAAAATATGTAATATGGATAGTTCTTGACCAAATTTGGATAGCTCATGATCAAAACCGTACAATTTGGTTAGCATTTTAAACCAAATTTGAATAGAAATTTGGTCAAGTATTATCTAATTTTTTTTTTTACCCATATTTAGGTACTACGTAACAAGTTTATAATAAAAAATTATTAGCAATCTGGACGTTGTCTGTTTGAGGGACCACATATGAACATATTTAATACTTCAGAGATTAAAATGATGCAATTGAAATATTGGGGACCAAAACGAGACAAACCCCATACTTTGGGGACTTTCAGTGTAATTAACCCTTTATTTTATTTTGTGCAATATTTTATGTTTATTTTAGTCTTGTANGAGACCACATATGAACATATTTAATACTTCAGGGATTAAAATGATGCAATTGAAATATTGGGGACCAAAACGAGACAAACCCCATACTTTGGAGACTTTCAGTGTAATTAACCCTTTATTTTATTTTGTGCAATATTTTATGTTTATTTTAGTCTTGTAGACGGTATTTATGCTCCTAATCTTTTGAAATAGTCATGCAACTACCATCTGATGTTTAAATTTCTTCGAGGGGTAGGATACAAGTTTTATTAAAGTTATCAGAGGCTAGAATGCTAGGACTGCCTTAACCCCATTACAAATATTCTTTCATGAAACACAACCAAGAATAAGAGAAACATATGAGCAGATCAGATCAAATCTCGCTGAATTTAATTCCTTGAAAGTTTTTTCAGGACTAATTCCTTTCAGTTTTTCAATAAGAAGAATACCAATTTTTACCTTTGTTAACATGATGACAACAAAACTATTTTCAGCAACCTTGTTCTCTTCCAAGGTTGTGCCATCTTTAAGAACTTTCCCCTGATGGATAAGCATCTGTTGTGAGACAGGATAAACATGGGATCCCTGAACCGTTTCAATATTTTTCTTTACATCAGCAACCTGAAGATTACATTCATAAGTTTCAACCAATATTAGTGAAAGTATTACACTAAAATAACAAAAAGAGAGCAGACGCAGAACAAACATGTTTGCAGTCATGTACAGGAAAAAGGACATAAAATTAATGAACAAAATAGCAAACAGCTCAGGTGAGTAGTGAAGACAGAAAACGTGGCACAACATATGATTTGGCCAGCCCAATATGTTTAATATAAGGATTATGCAAGGAGATCGCATCAACTGTAGTATCCCAACCACATCATTTTCTAATATCTCCAGACATTTTTTTTTTTTTGGAAGGAGCTTGTCTCTACCTTTTTACAGTGCATGGGCAGGAGAGCTTTCCCCTTATCATAAGCATTTGACTACCAAGCAGCCACGCATGCAACATATGTGCACTCCAGTCACCCAATCTCATCTTTATATAAGGCAATCTTATGTTGCATCTCTTAGTCCTTCATAAAGCATGTGCAGCAATTTCAGCTTCCTACAAGTCATCCTTAGCCCTTAATCTCCCATAATCCTTACTCTTGACTCCTACCCCAGCAAAAAATTTATTCTAACATGCTAATCTAGTGCATTCCATAAACTCTTTACAAGTCATTTTAAACTATATGCATAAAGGTTAATTTGGTAAATGAGAGAAAAGTTTGGTGCCAATGTTCTAAAGATAAACCTCTCTTCTCATCATATCATACAATGTTTCCTACACCAACCAGCTTGTGTTAGTTGTTTTCCAGTGCGTGAGCTAGTGCTACTTTAGAATCAACAACATATCATAATTATGGAACGTGGGGGGGACCGATGGGTTGTCAAAAAATAACTGTATGACAATATGCATAATCGCCACCTTGCAAATTGTATCACATATTCGACTCCAAATTTTTTTGATGCATGGTGTATCTTAAAGTACGTTTGTATTGTTCTAATTGTTGGTTCTTGACAACATTGAAAGAAAATATTAACTCCACTAAAGATTTGAGCAAGAATAGAAAAAAAGAAATAGAAAAACAATCAAAATTCATAAGTCAAGATTTAAAAGATAGGGGTTGATCTGTCAATACAACAATAAGCCCAAACTTCAACATTTTGCTTTGCGTCTGTAAAGGCAGGGACGTTAATCCCTTTTAGCAATGTTGTTACTAGTTGTGCCCCCAAAAGTGGAAGCGCAACTTTTGACACTTGTGGGAGTAACTCTTAAGTAATCAAGAAAAACAATGAATGCCCGGAAAAATCACATCAATAGGAAACAATGTTCAAATCTAGTAATAATGCTCAATTTGCATGCCAAATTCAATATCATCCTACATATTCTATAACAAGAGTCAGATTCCACTATATGGTGCCACAAAAAGGAGGCACAAACCAAGATTAACCAAATACTGAATTGAGAAACATTGAAAAATAGGGGATTTGCAGAGGAATTTTAGACTGCAACATCCATTCATCCATAAGCTTATAAATAGTGCATATTTTTCAAAATGTTTCAAGGTATTTCAAAATATTTTGGTATATTTCGACTAATGTTTTGAAAAATAATTCTTAAATTTTTTATTTTTTTCATTATGTTTTTAAAACAAGTCAAAACATTTCCGAAATACTTCGAAATGTTTTCATTTCTAAGGTGACCGAAACAATGCATTGAAACAAAATTTTGATCCTTTGATATATGTATGTTTTAATATCTTTTATAAAACTGCATGTATCGTATGATACATGACGCGTTACGACACGCGATACACAATTTTGGAAAAAAGATACGCCTTTCGATACACATTTTGACAACCTTGATCCTCACCAATATTTCACTTATAATCTCTCTCTTTAACTCTCCCATCTTCCATCAGCTGCCACTTCCACCACCACCACCACCCCACCTCCACCTATTGACAAGCCTAATCAAACCCTAATTGAAGAACCCGCCAACCTAAAACCCTTGAACTTATTTCAAACAAACATAAATAATACAAAATTGATCTATAAAATCCAAGAAATCCATTAATCTAAACTCAAAAAAAAAAGGATTTTTTTATTCAATAGGACCTATATATATATATATATATATATATATATATATGATAGATGTATATATGATAAATATATGTTGCTCAGAGAAGACCACTAGCAAATTCACATCTTCAAAACCAACATGTTCATAGTTCTCCATTCTCACCATCGGTGGCAAACACGAAGGGTGCTTTTTGGACCCATAACAATTGGCAACAAAGAGGTTTGATTCTTGAAAGTTGGAATTTGTATTTTGGACTTTGTTTGTTTGATTGGATTTTGGGCTTCTGTTTGATGGAAGGTGGTAGTGGCATGGCTGTGGATGATTTCAATTTTCTTTTGTTAATTCGTTTGTTTGGGGATTTGATTAAATAGACGTGGCTGGTCTGTTAGACCGAACAAGAAGAATTGGGTGAAGTTGTCGGAGAAGAAGAATGGAAGGGTATTAAGATCATTTTAATTTTGTCGTTACAGAGTTGAGCAATACATTTTAGTCCGACAACCATATGAGGGTTATATGATACTTTCAATCCAATGTGCAAATGAGGTCAACCATAAGGGGATAAAATGAAGTTTCTCCTACAAATTATGTAGAACATCTATCTTTCTTTCTCTTGTTGTAACTTACTCCTTTTTGAACCTATATGACGCGTATCGTAATGTATCATATATTGAATAGTATTGTACGATACTTAAAACATACATATCAAATATCGTAAGATACTAGCAACCATGGTCTCTCCTAAAAGTCTAAGGACAAAAGCATATAAATTATGCTCTCAGGACCCACTAGTATAGAAGTCGAATGTGGTCATAATAAGACCATCTAAAATTCTGAATGAATTTTCTCGGGGCAAACAAGGGAAAATAGCAAGACCAATATAGTCTACCTATGTTAGAATACCTTTACTTAAACGAACAAAAAAAAAAAACATCCCACATGTGTAATTATGTATTGCCATGTGTGCACAGATTGTATCATGCATTACGTGTATATTAAGGTACATGCAAGATTGGATCCTGTATCATATGTCCATTGGGTCATGAGAAACCGAAACATATGCTTATAAGCATCTAAGGCGTTTGATAACAATGTTTTTTGGAAACGGTTTGATAACAATGTTAAACTCTGCATAGTCATGATTCTTTCCTAATTTCAAATAGAGTGGGGGGAGGGGGGAGAGAAATCATGGCCAATGGTAAACTTCAATAACGCCATAACTCAAATAATCTAGTGCTAAAGCATAAAATGGCTGTATTTTTTGTTATATAAGTCTGTCATGATACCACCATATGAACGAGGAACCCACAAAATTTTAGCACAAGTAACTCGAGGAGTATTGCTTCAGAAGGCACAATATTCCTTTAAAGTAAATCAACCCTTGAAAGCATCCTAAGTAAGGATCAAAATTTCGTTTCGAAACATCTGAAACGTTTCTATTTTCAAGGAAACTGAAACGAATCATTGATGGAATCAAAATTCTAATATTTCAAGATATTTCAAAATGTTTCAAGATATTTTGATATATTTTGAGCAATGTTTGAGAAAAATAATTCTTAACTTATTTATTTTTTTTGATTATATTTTCGAAACGGATCAAAGTGTTTTTTGAAATACCTCAAAACGTTTCGGTTTCCTAAGTGATCGAAACAATTCACCAAAATAAAATTTTGATCCATGATCATAAGTTACGGATAGTTAGAAAACAATTTTGAGTTTGGCAGCATGAATTGAGGTCTTCAAATTGGAATCCAATGGTTTTAATAGATGAAGCCAGTAAATTAATTCCACACCAATTTCTTTTACGAGTAGACTTCTCCTGCTCCCAAATGAAGTGAAAGACTTTCCAATAAATTAATTGTTAACAAATTCAATTGCCTCATGAACACAAACACTGTCAATAAAAACTCAATAACAAAACTAAGACTACCACTCAATTGCATAACAATGCGACACGCGAATTTAGTTTTATGCTAAACACTCGACTAATTGCTAACAAATCCCCAATTCGCATATCCAAATTACTTAAATTGAAACACATCTCATTAATTTAAAAATTAGCCAACCAATACAGACATATGAACAAAAAGAAAACTCAAAAAAAATCCAAATCTCTAGATTACGCATACATATCAGTATAGAGCAAGGAATAGCGATAGGGTAAGAGAATTGACGAGAGCTAACCGTGTCGTCAGGTTGCACTTCGATTTCAAAGTGTGTTCCCTTCAAAGTCTTGACGAAAATCTTCATACTTTTCAGATCCAAAAAAAAAAACCTATCTCCGTCCGTACAATCACGATCCACCGGAGAATTCCCGCAGAGAGAGAGAGCAGACGAGAGAAGAACTCTGAAGGCGCAAGTAAGAAGAGAGCCCTAAATCAGAATCATAGATAGTTATACTCAAGTTCGACCCTTTACTCTTCCTCTCTGAAGGCAAATTAGGTGATAAATCCACGCGCTGATATGGTCGTGGTTTCCCATGTTTCTTAAGGTATGTTGCTATAGCTGGTGCGTGTTTTACAAATGTATTGAAGACGGTTTGGGATATGAGGAAGAGAGAGAGGAGATGAGAGTGAGCTAGATTTTTGTGTCCAGCTAGGAGTCTTTTGGATCATCGAGTTACTGATCACCGCTTGATTAAATGTTGGGTGCTATTGAGTGGGTCCCACTAAATAAATGTAGGGCTTTTTGGTAAAATCACATTTGGTAGGTAGAGATNTGCCACGTTTCTTAAGGTATGTTGCTATAGCTGGTGCGTGTTTTAAAAATGTATTGAAGACGGTTTGGGATATGAGGAAGAGAGAGAGGAGATGAGAGTGAGCTAGATTTTTGTGTCCAGCTAGGAGTCTTTTGGATCATCGAGTTACTGATCACCGCTTGATTAAATGTTGGGTGCTATTGAGTGGGTCCCACTAAATAAATGTAGGGCTTTTTGGTAAAATCACATTTGGTAGGTAGAGATAATTTACTTACGGGTGATCTAATTTTTTGGAATATGATCGGTTGTTGCGTTCGAAAAAATAATTCGTACAAATTTAAACACTTTATAACTAAAAAATAATGCATTAGCACATGAATACTAGTCGAGTTAAAAGGTGTGGATTAAAGGATCTATTATTGATTGACTCTGATTTTACCCCTCAACGCATCCAAATTACACCTTTAAGTAGTTACATATTGTTAATCTCCTTGTGGCAGGCCCGTCAGTTGATCGAANTTCGTACAAATTTAAACACTTTATAACTAAAAAATAATGCATTAGCACATGAATAATAGTCTGAGTTAAAAGGTGTGGATTAAAGGATCTATTATTGATTGACTCTGATTTTACCCCTCAACGCATCCAAATTACATCTTTAAGTAGTTACATATTGTTAATCTCCTTGTGGCAGGCCCGTCAGTTGATCGAATTTTAATTAGTTAATATTAATTAATTTTTTTACCTATAATTTGAATTTGAATATCCCTTCATTTGATTTGATTATGACCTAAAAAATATGTATATATTTTTATATAGATATGAAATAAATTAAGTGATTATTTAAAAAAAAATTGATGTAATTTATTAAATTTTGGTTAAATTAAGTTATTCGGACCAGATCGGATGTCGGTTTGTTAAATAGATTCGGAAATGGACAATTAAAATAAAATCCGTCAAATAATTGGATCAGGTACATATTGGCTTTTTAAAACTGAATTTGGATTTAGATTAGTCATAATCTGATCTAAATCAAATCTAATGACAAACCTAGTTCCATCTCACCCAAATCTACATGTTTCCTTACATTTCACACCCCAAATTGATACGTGCAGGGTGTACTCACTTCAGTTCAATACAATATCTTCCGGAAACGGGTCACCTATTTATACGTTGATTCAAGTCAAATGGCCCGTTAAGATAAGAGATCAAATCCGACTGAAAGTAGCCACACCTTCAGGCAGAAAACCCAATGACCCAGTGGCAAGGCCTTGTGACTTCTTTGTGACCGATAGGTAAGCCCATATGGATGACCCTATAGTACGACCCTGATCCAATCCATTCTCCCCACAAAATTCCCGGAAAAAGAAAAGAAAAGATTGGATCGTTAGGGTCAATCCGATAAGTAGCCCTCTAAAGGCCCGTTAAGATTGGTATATGCATAAGTTGTACTTCACATTTTTTATAACGAAAATTAGGATCGAGTCTTCTTTAAATAACTTATAATGAATTTAATTTGTCAATAAAATTTTATTTGGAGGTAAGTCATTTTTTAATCTTACAAATAAGTAATTAAGTCTACTATTTTTTTAAAACTCCAAAATGTCCTTCTAATGACTTAAAAAGTAATCTTCAGTAAATCAGTTTCTTAAACAATCATTCTTAATTTACACTTAATGGAATATTTTTTTCTATAAAATTTAAATTTGACATCACTATAATCTCTCTCTCTCTCTCTCATTTTTTTTTTGGTTGAGAAAACTATGATTAATTTAATATTGAATGTTAATATGCATGTTACAATTTTTTTGTTGTGCATGCTACTATTAATATTCAATATTACTATTTTCCCGAAATATCAATATTTAGTATTTTTTTTTTGTTGACCATGTTACTATTGTTATTTTTTTCAAATATTAATATTTAATGTGACTATTTTTTATTTTTTTATTTTACTATTTTTTTGTGCTCAAGTGTTACTATCTTTTATTTTTGAATGTTACTATTTTTTGTCCTTAAGTGTTACTATATATAAGGGAGAGAGAAATAAATAATCATATTGGATATAGATAGATATGAAAGAAAGAAAAAAATCTAATGTTAGTCAAATTTTTAAAATTTAGGAGTTGTTAGTTTTAAAATTTATTGCAATTAAAAATAACTAATGAGGGTATTTTGGATAATGAAGATCAAAATGAACTTAATATTAAAAAANTCAAGTGTTACTATCTTTTATTTTTGAATGTTACTATTTTTTGTCCTTAAGTGTTATTATATATAAGGGAGAGAGAAATAAATAATCATATTGGATATAGATAGATATGAAAGAAAGAAAAAAATATAATGTTAGTCAAATTTTTAAAATTTAGGAGTTGTTAGTTTTAAAATTTATTGCAATTAAAAATAACTAATGAGGGTATTTTGGATAATGAAGATCAAAATGAACTTAATATTAAAAAAAAAAATTTGATAGATTTATCACCAAATAAATCCATAAAGGAAGACCGACCTCAAAATTTCTCTTTTTTCTAGCCAGGAGCCCTGCCCATTACCAACAATAGTTTATAGCTTTGTGCTATGAGTCGAATAATTGAAAACCCACCGAGTAGAGTGGTTCAGTGGGGCACCCACTAAACTTCTCACTCTGAAGTTATAGGTTCGAGTTTTAAAGTATATATTAGGGTTTGGTGATTGACCACTATATTAGCCTAACTAAGTTTGTTCTCGATAGGTGTAACGGACACGATTAGCACCTTTATGATTCCACCAATAAATCTAAGCGCCCTCCTNATGAGTCGAATAATTGAAAACCCACCGAGTAGAGTGGTTCAGTGGGGCACCCACTAAACTTCTCACTCTGAATTTAAAGGTTCGAATTTTAAAGTACATATTAGGGTTTGGTGATTGACCACTATATTAGCTTAACTAAGTTTGTTCTCGATAGGTGTAACGGACACGATTAGCACCTTTATGATTCCACCAATAAATCTAAGCGCCCTCCTTTCTTCTCACCCTTATTTTTTACGCACAAAAAAAATAAAAAAGAAAGAGAGAGTAGCTGTAACTCCTCCCCACAGGGCACCAAAATCCTAAACACTTTAGAACGCAATGTAAATTGAATTTTAGATTTTCAAACCGTGAGCAAGCTGGCCCGGTGCTGATTCATGCTGGAATTTTACTGGCCCACACTGATGAACCACTTGGCCCAANAGAAAAAAGAAAGAAAGAGTAGCTGTAACTCCTCCCCCACAGGGCACCAAAATCCTAAACACTTTAGAACGCAATGTAAATTGAATTTTAGATTTTCAAACAGTGAGCAAGCTGGCCCGGTGCTGATTCATGCTGGAATTTTACTGGCCCACACTGATGAACCACTTGGCCCAATTGTGCAACTTGGTACTAAACGCCAGAACTAAATAAATGCAGTCTTGGAAGGAATTTTTGATGTTGTGGGTCGTCTACTCTGTGATGTGTGTCGTGTTTATTTCCTATTATTTTAAAATTTACTAATAATTCGTTTCGTGTATTAGACAAGTTTATGTTGAACTATTTAGTGAATAAGACTGAACAATTCACTTACAAAGAAATCTGTTAAGACTCCATTCAAAATTATAATGTCATATCGATACTATATTGGAGGGATAGTTGTGTTATAAAGTATGACCCTACAACTAACTTACCTATGGATTTTCAGCTATTTAGGATAGAGTTAGCAAGTTAGAAGAAAGAAAAAAAATGAAAAAAAATGTAAAGACGAGAAGTTCGAATAAAATATACACTTCCAGTTGGAGAAAAATAACTCTTCTATTCTAGAACATAGGATGAAGTTCCCAAAACATAACTAAAACNTTGAAGAAAGAAAAAAAATGTAAAGACGAGAAATTCGAATAAAATATACACTTCCAGTTGGAGGAAAATAACTCTTCTATTCTAGAACATAGGATGAAGTTCCCAAAACATAACTAAAACGACATCGTATTACCCGAATACGACGTTGTTTTAGCGCTGTTTCGAGAAAAACACATTATGTTGTACATCGGAGGAACTGGACTCTGCTCGAACTCCTACTTCTTTGTAGAATTCTAGGATTATAAGTCACAAACCATGAACTAATTCTAGACCATAGATTTATGATCCGAATCCCTACCACAGATTTGTGATGCNAAAAAAAAAAAACAAAAAAAGGGGATAAAAATTATAACTGATCTCTAAATTTTGTCTTCGATTTTAATTTGGTCCTTGAACTTTCAATTATTCTAATTTAGTCTCTCAACTATCAATTTTTTCTTAATTAAGTTTTTCCATTAATTTCTNACTGGACTCTGCTCGAACTCCTACTTCTTTGTAGAATTCTAGGATTATAAGTCACAAACCATGAACTAATTCTAGACCATAGATTTATGATCCGAATCCCTACCACAGATTTGTGATGCTTAATCCTATCAATTCCTTATCACTCTTTGATTTATTCATACAAAACAATCATGTGGTTTTCTCACTATTTACTCCAAGGCTAAAGAATTTGTTTGGTGACTTGATCGAGAAAAAGGAAAAAAAAAACAAAAAAGGGGGATAAAAATTATAGCTGATCTCTAAATTTTGTCTTCGATTTTAATTTGGTTCTTGAACTTTCAATTATTTTAATTTAGTCTCTCAACTATCAATTTTTTCTTAATTAAGTTTTTCCATTAATTTCTATCGTTAGATCAACTATAATTTTTATCCAGAACGAAAAGGAAGGGGGTGATTATGCAAACAAAAGAATTTATACGAGTGTTAGTTATTCCTTCTCTGT